AGTAAGAGACATAGGTAAGACAATGTATATAAAATGCCCAACTCAATGCCTGGTACACTCTGGATGCTCAAAATGTAGCTATTATAATTTATCAAATACCAGTGTGCTATTTATTTCATGAATTTGTGGGGACCTCAGCTAGTTCCCAAAGCACAATTCAGCAAGAATCCCAAGACTCTTATTAAATTTCTTTATAAAAGGGACTATCAATAACTTCCACAAGATGGCACTGCGTCCCAGCCCCTTTTCCTGCATTCAGTCTTTGAAATATTGTAAAACTGTGTGACTGATGCCCTCTGCTGGCTTGTTTTTGTTTTTCTTGACCTTGAGCCTTTGGCTTTGAAGGTGCAAATGATGGCTCCGTGTGCTTCCTCAAATATGCTCAGCATGAATTCTTAAATCCACAACTTAAGCCAGTTGCCCAAAGGCTCACTCAAAAGTTTGCAGGACTGACATAGCATACGGGCATAGCACAGACACCAGTTTGGTCCCCATGCAGAACCAGTGCATGTTGCTACACTCAGGTCCCTGCACACGGCAATCACCTGTCAGCCCCATCATGCCCCCAAACAAAGCACACCTACCGCCTTGTCGTCCTACCTGTGCTTGATCCTTCCATCCCAGCTACAGTCCCTGAATCTCTTCATCCTTCATGTAGCAGCTCTCAAAGGCTTCGGATTTCTCAACATTTTCTTACAGAACACTTACGGCTTTTTTATTTGCATTTTCCCCCAAACCTTTTTGGAATCCATTTATATTTCTGGCCTGTGAAACTTCTAGGCCAGTGGTTCTCAACCTTCTGGCCCTTTAAATACAGTTCCTCATGTTGTGACCCAACCATAAAATTATTTTCGTTGCTACTTCCTAACTGTAATGTTACTACTGTTATGAATCATAATGTAAATATCTGATATGCAGGATGGTCTTAGGCGACCCCTGTGAAAGGGCCGTTCGACCGCCAAAGGGGTTGCGACCCACAGGTTGAGAACCGCTGTTCTAGGAGTTACATGGAAAAAGTGTGTAGAATTGAGTTTTTATGTCTTAAACTTGACCTGCTCAAACTTCAAAGGGGGTCTGCTCCTCTATGTCAAGATTTGAGAAGCTAACCCACATTCGCTTGTACCGCTAGCACTGTTCTAGGCAGTGACTTTGTATCTCCCGGAGCCTTCCTTCAGGCCCAGCGTGCTAGTCCTGGCTGTTTTCGTAGGCCAGCCACCTTTCCCTTGATTCTTCTCATTTTGATTTTCTAGTTATTAGTCCAAATTAAAGTCAATGCTCAAGACATCTTTGAGCGGTCTGTGTTCAGAGAAATAAAAATATTACTTCTTAGCAACACGGGTGCCCTGATGAGATTTGATTTGTAATTAACTTCTAGAGAGAAGGAATAGTATTCAGGAACTTGCCCCCAGAGGAATCATTACATGAGGGACCAGCTATTCTGGGGCACCTGATGTATTCTGTGTCTTGTCTCTGCCCACAAGTCTCCTACATGTCAACTTAGTAACAACAGTAATAATCTAACACTTACACAGTGCTGTGTCCAGCATTCTTCAAAGTACTTTGCAACTATCTCATTTAATCATCACAGTTCTAGAGGTAATTTCATTCCCACTTTCCAGACGAAAAAGTTGAAACACAGTGCAGTGAAGTAACTAGCCTATGATCTGACCACTTACTCCCCCTCAGGTCAGCTGGACTGCTCATTACCTTCACGGTAAAGCCCAAACTCCCAAATATTCACAGGCCCCTAATGGTTACTCAAGCCTCCCATTGAATGTTTCCTCCCCATAACGTGGAACTCCCATCTGACACTGCCACCTTCGTGCTTGCTAAGAACAGATGTGCTTCAGTGGTGGGCACATTTTGCATGTAGTTTTTATGGGAGTCTGATTTTTTACAGAATCCACAAGTCATATTTCAGGTTAAAAATCACATTGACAGCTACTGGGATTTCAATTAGAATTTTGTTTGGCATTCTAAAGATCTGAAACCAGGCCCAAATTCTGACTAGGTGGTCTGCTGGGGCAAGGAGGGGTCACCCTAGGCCTAGACCATCTTTCGCCCACTTCAATCACACCTAACTTCCAAGACTAACTTCAAATGCCATCTCTTCTAGTAAATATTTCCTACTACTCCGGCTCAATCTGACTTCCAGCCTCTTTGGATTCCCCCAGCATTTTGCTGCATATTATGGCACATACATGTTTCATTAAGAACCAAGTAGAAACTCTGAGTAAGGTTAAGAGACCAACTCTATAGTGTTAGGCAACAAAACTAGACATGGCATCCAGAGTTGTAGGATCTGAGCTCTAGATAAATAACGGAGCCTGAATTAGTACATTGAAAAGGGTAGAGAAGTGACTTTATTAACACACAATCGCGCGTTTTTATTATCTCTTTGCTTTTCATGCCCCTTCTATCCGCCTTCTGCTTACAGAAAAACCAAGACACAATTTGCTGGATATGTTGTTAGTTTTTAATAAATAGAAACCACATCACTTCATTTGTTACAGTGAGTAAGACATGGGAGGTAACCATGCCTGAGGGCCCCAGAAAGCTTTTTCATCCACCAAGTGACAGAAAGGACAAGCACCTTCACCACCAAAGCCTTTGGTTCACTTCTTCTTTGGATCTCTGTTCTCCCACCACATCAGCCTGCTGCTTCCAGAATGGAACTTTGCCTTCGATTGGGTCCTAGTTGGGAGGCTAGTCTATCAGCTTGTCTGAATAACAGAACGGAGTTCCCTAACTTAGCTGAGGAACCTGGACAAGTCTTCTTTGATCTCAGCCTCATCCCAAGGCCCATGAATGTTTTCTTTAAAAAGCTGTAGGCGAATGAGGTAAAAAGGGCAGAGGCAGGAGATAGACACCAGCAGAAGGGCAAAGAGGGTGGCTCCCACCGCACTAATGGACAACAGGCCCCCCAAGGCTGAGAATGCAAAGAGCAACGTGACTCCCACGTAGCAGCGGGGAGTACATGCCTTCAGTTTCTTCTGTAACATGGGCCACAGGGCAAAAATCTGGATGGCAAATGTCACCATGATGAAGGCATGCAGGGTCCGGGGCAGGCGTGAGGCCAGGCAGACAGAAGCAAAGATGGCCATATTCAAGGACAGGGTGCTGGACACAATGGCAGCATTGGCCCCATAGTCGAAGAAGATGAGGTGGCCTAAGAGCATAAAGACTGACATGGCGTAGATGGTGTCCGTGCTGACAGACTCTGTCAGGGTCTTCAGCACGGGCGAGAAACCGTATGTGAAAGTAATAAAGACCAGGGCGCTCTTGAGGTCAGCCCACCGGGTCCGCCCACTCTTCCTCCGTCCTTCACCTCCATCAAGGAGATCGAACAAAACATAGCCAGTCAGTGACAAAGCCAGGCCAGTCCCTAAAAGCCAGTGAGGGGCCAGAAGACCCTCGTCCATATACCACCAGATGACCCCAAAAACGCAGACGCTGCACAGCTGCTGTATCACCACGCTGGATTCAAATACCACAGCCCAGTACTGGTATTTCCGGGCATGGATGTTCTTCCGGAGCTCTTCCAGGAACCGCTGGTCCACGTAGTTATCGGGAAAGGGCTGTCGCTCATATAAGACTTTCTGCCACCTGATCTCTGTGGTGTTAGGTACGGGTTGGGCACACATCATCCTTCCCCTCAGCCTCAGGCCAGTTCAATTTCCCATGCAGAAGTCCATGTGGTTCTTGTTCTTTATAAAGTCTCGAAATAAGACCTCTCCGGAAATCCCATGCTGTGTTGCGGTTGATATTGTGCTGACCTTCCCTTGTTCTCAAAGGCTGCAACCCAGGCAAGGCCTGCAAGAGGAGTTTCTTCTCTGAGGCAGAACAACACAGCCAAGTTCCTACAAAAAGACAGACCATGAGCCTATAAAACCGCTGCAGGTTAAGGGCAGGGCTGCGTTAAAATCAAACCAACTCACTGTATTAGACGCCTAGGCAAAATCTATGTGGTGGCCCTCTTATAATAATGACATTAAAATTTCCTTTCAGGTTTTAATGACCTTCCCTGGGATAATAATAGACACCTGTCAGCTGTCACCAGCTGGGTGCCTGCAATGTGCAAAGTGCCTTAACTAGCTGCTGCTTTCATTCCATCTCCACAATCCTGCAGGTTGGTTAGTCCCACTTTAACTAGTAAAAAAAAAAAAACTTAGTAAAATCGCTCAGGTAACTCACCCAAGTTAACAATGCTAACTGGTGGAGCCATATGCAAAATCGGACCCCAAAGCCTGTGCCCCCCCCCCCCCTCCAAACCAGCTCTGAACTCGGGGTTCACACCCCGGAGGTTTGTGGCTGGGCTGAGAGCCTCCCCAAGGCCTGTCACTGCATGCCTGTCGCTGCCACTTATGCAAACGTACAGGGACGGGACCCAGAGCTTGGACTGGGGTCTCAAAGGCACCTGTTATTTAAAGGGTCTGAACAGTCAACTGCATCCTACAGACAAAGTGAGCTCCACGGTTCATGTAGCCAAAGCCAATGACTCCAAGAAACTACAGATCCTTTCACTGAGGTCACTCCCCTCTAAAGAGCTCCCATCCAACTCGGAGAGAGAAAAATCTGTGGCGATCGGAGACAGCGACCCGTCGGCCACAATGGGAAAGCCCGGCGTCAGACATGCCAGCAAACGTGCTCTGAAGGGCTCTGAAGGCCCGGCCGCCCGCCTCCCGCGGAGACCACGGCAGGTTTGGCTGCACGAGCCGACCCCGGGGCCCCGCACGCCCGCCGCCGCCCCACCGCCCCGCCGGGAGGGAGGCCCCGAAACAGGACGCCCTCGGAACCCACCTGCCCGCCCGCTCGTAGGGAAGCGCGGCCGGGGGACCGACGCCCGCCTCCTTCCCCATCCGGGGCGGCGGCGGAGCACTTCCGGGGCCGCCTCAACCTCCGCGGCCGAGCGCCCTCCCTGCGCCGGCGCGCTCGCTGCTGCCCCCTCGTGGCTGTTCACGGGACTCCCGCTCGGGGACCGCCTGCTCCGAGCCCAGGAAAGCAACTCCGCCACCGAAAGACCGGGGACCCGGCCTCCGCAGGGCGGGGGTGGAGGCGGGGCTGGGCGAAGCGAGCCGAGCGCGGCTGCCGGTGTTGAGCTCCCAGTGTGAAGTCAGGCCCGCGGCGGGGCCTTCCCGGGGTCCGCGCTTTCTCCCGACACAGTCACCGAATCCCTGCAGCTTTCGGTCGCGCGCACGGACCTGTGATGTGACGGCCGCCCCGCCCTCGCAGGGGACAGAACTGAGGCTCAGGGAGGTGGTGGTTGGTCTGAAGCCGCCCGGCTGGGAAGTGGATTCACAAAGTGAACGTCCTTCTTCTCTTTGCCTGGAGAAGGGATGAGGGTGGCGGACTCCGCCGCAGACGTGGACTAGCAGGTCCCTGAGACCCAGCGGAGTGCATGGAGGCACCCGAGTCTGCAGAACAGAGGGGGCGTGACCCAGAAGCAAAGGGACAGCGAACACATGTCACGGGGGACACGACAGTCGGGAACCCCGAATCCACGCCCCACCAGCGTGACTCGGCCAACAGGCTGAGCTTCCATTTCTCCATCAGCAAAATGGGACCACACTGTTCGCTCTTGGCCATTGTGTGGGCAACCCAAAAGAGTTAACTAAATGCAACTGCTCACAACAACAACAACAACAACAACAATGTATCGAGTGCTGTCCAGCTGCCATCACCTTGCTCTGGTCAAGCGCGACAGATTCTGGAAAATGATTTCTTTCCATGTCTCTCCAGGCTTCTGTTCCCAAGTTCGACAGGATCCCCTGGCTTTGTGAGGCCAGCCTCAGAAACAAGCCCCTGGTGCTCAGCCTCCCCAAAAGGTAAGAGAGCTCAGCTGCTGGTGGCAAAAGTTGCAGGAAAGGCCACACAGAAGCTAGGCCACGCGTCTGGTCAGTTGAGAAACCCACGTCAACTGTTCCCTGATTACACAGTCTTTGGTGGGAGTGGGAGGGGGTGCAGGGCAGGGGCTGAACAAGGCGGGCCCAGCACGCAAGGAAGTGCCCTCAGAACCTGCTCACTTTCACAGCCAGGTCCTGGAGGGTCAGAGGGGAAGGGAAGGGGGCTTTTCCTGCAGCCAGCCACGCTGGAGCTAGCTGCTAGGAGAAGGACCTGCGGTGGTCAGAGGAGCTCGTCACGTGTCTGTACGTGTCTGTAGGGGAGGGTCCCGGCAGCACGGAGCCCTTATTGAGAGAAATGACACCCACCTGCCTCACAGGAGGTCTACAGGATGGACCACACCTGTGAGGTGCCCTGCGCTTTGGGGAGGACAGGTAGGCATGCCAAGTCTGCTGAAAGGCTGGCTGTTTAAGTATCAGCAATTCCCGAGGATTAGGAAATCCTCATCTGGCCCAAGCTCTGGGTTCCACGCTGTTTATTTTTTTGTTTATTTTTTATTTTTTTTTAAATATATTTTATTGATTTTTTACAGAGAGGAAGGGACTGGGATAGAGAGTTAGAAACATCGATGAGAGAGAAACATCGATCAGCTGCCTCCTGCGCATCTCCCTACTGGGGATGTGCCCGCAACCCAGGTACATGCCCTTGACCGGAATCGAACCTGGGACCCTTCAGTCCGCAGGCCGACGCTCTATCCACTGAGCCAAACCGGTTAGGGCACAAGCTGTTTATTTTTGACAAAACCCTTTCTATTCTGTGTCACAGCTGCTTTGCCAAGGCTAGCTAAAGCTTAAAGCACGTGTAGAACTTTCATACCGTAATAAAATGAACCACACCAGCCAGCAGGGGTGCCACCCTGTGAAGAGCATCACCACTTCCCTTGCAAACTGCAAAGAAAATTCCAGGGAAAACGTGGTTGGAGGGAGGACATGGTCCGCGGGAGGAGGTGGTGGATTGCCTTCTCTCTGAAATAGCAAGGGCCTCGCCCTTCACACCAGAGACTTTTGTTTTGATCACTCAGATACCCTCATGGCTCTGCCACTTCTCTGAATTCATGGAGGAAGGATGTGAATTCGCCAAATACGTTTCAAGTTCCAAATGGCTTATCTAAGGTACTCAACTTTTTTTTTTCTTTAATTGCAAAGAAACCCATAGCAGTTCTAGGACGACCTGCACGTGACCCCAAAGACACATCCTGTCTCCTTAGCACAGCCCGAGCGAGCCTGGGGCATTAGGTGTTCAGTAGACATTTGCCCCAGCCAGTCACCTCGTTCAGGGCCCCCAGGTCCACTAGAGCTAAGAATAGAGGCCTGAGGGGAGAACCATCAAAAAGGGAAATTAAAAATTTCATGTTGAGGCATCTGCCCTGGGACCTTCAGGGACTGCTTCTCAGCCTGTGTCCAGAACCACACCTCGTTTTGGAGTCTCTAACCCCCTCCCACCACCACCGTAAACCCCTAGGACCTCTATTCACATCGGTTTTCACATTAAACAGTCCTCATCTCCCCTCCACCCCTGGAAGTCAACCGTGCCTGGCTGCTGGGTGACATGCAGTGACACTAGCCTCACAGAGGGTCCCCGAATTTACGGTGCTTGTGAAGTCAGCACCTCCCCGAGGTGGAGGAAGAGAGAGAACTCGGGACACGAGCAGTTTCTTCGCCCGAAAGATTACCCAGCACAGGACTATATTGTGGGCAGTGCAGGAGGCTGCGTCCCTAACGCATTTGGCCAGAGCTCTGTAGCTGCGGCCACCTCATGACCAGCCCTCACGTCGGGATAAGCGCTTTCGCAGCCCTTTTTACCTGGTTTCATACAGATACAGGGATGAGCAGGTCAGTTCCTGCCTACACAAATGACAGGGCGCAGGGACAGGCACAGGGCTGCCCAATGTATATCAGGACGGGGTGGGAGGAAGGGTCCCCTGTGGGCGGGGAGGGGCGAACAGAGACAGAACGGAGCGAGGGCGGGGTCCAGAGGTAGTGGCATCTCACTGGCTCGGAAGATTTCCACGAGTGAGGAAGGGCCTGGGAAGCAAGACCTGCGACTGAGCAGGCAGGACTTGCCTGCAGAGCTTGGAGCGCTCAGGCTTACATGTAAGGGACTGTGGAGCTGGGGCCTGGCCACAGCACTGAGGGTCAAGGGCAGAGCTGTGCTGCAGGGTGACTTCATTAATCCCCCTAACACCCAGGCAAGCAGGTGAGAGTGCCTGCCGCCACGACAGAGGGACTGAGCAGGGACACGCTGGGCTTGGCAGTCCAGGCAGAACCAGCGAGAAGCCTTCTGGTCATTTAGCCTCCTTGAACTTCCTATGCAGACAGCCTCCCCTGCCACCTAGCGCCACCTCCTGCAGGTTTGCTCTGGGTCTCAGCACACGTGCAGAGGCACTGACTCCAGGCACCCAGGACGCAGGGGGGAAGGCATTGCTAAGGCCCAGGCCAGTGAGAGGCTCCCCTTCAACTGGGCTCCGAATTTCATGGCTGCAGTGTTCATGCGTGGCCACTAGAGGGAAGCCCAGAGCAACAGCTTCCCAGGCTGGGACAATGGGCACAGCAGGTCACAAGTCCATTACTGCTGTTGGGTACCTCTCGGCGCGCTCTCTCTCTCTCTCTCTCTCTCTCTCTCTCTCTCTCTCTCTCTCTCTCCAACCTTTTCCATCGGAGAAGAGATTTAAACAAGGTCTGTTTGCAGAGAATTCCCTCAAGCTTCATCTTCTGGTCCTTTATGATAAGGATGCTGCTTTCCTTCTGGCGTAAGGAGGGTCTCTTCCTTTTGGGGTTTTTATCTCCTACTTTCAGGAAGAAAAAGGGGGGTCAGCGCACCCTTCTTGCACCTGCCGTCTTACAAAGTGCCTTCAGCTCCAAATAACCCTGATGGCCCAGTGGCATGTTTGGGAGAGGCGTATTCTGCCACCTTCATAGCAAACCTGGGTCCCTGTTCTGTTGGGACACCTGGCAGGTATCTCAGGTCAGCTCCCAGCCCGTCACACAGACTCAGATCTCAGTCGTGAAGGCCTGAGCATGTCTGCTGTGCGGTGAACAGCCGCAGCTGCTCCTTTCTGGAAATCAAAGAGCAATGATGCATCTCATGGGAGTGGAATGCCCTGTGGACACGCTGTCTCTCCCTTTATCCTCTAAATCGGGGACCTACTGAGAGCTGCAGGCAGCCCTGCCGCCAACCAGACCTCCTGGCCCTGGGCGTGGTCAGAGGTCCTGCCCTGGCTCCCTCTTCACCGTCACAGGTCAAAGGGCAGGACTTTGGTCATCCTCAGCCAGGTGGCGTTCCTGCCCAGTGCAGGTGTCTGTGTGCCCGGAGCGCAGTCCTCCCTGATGAGAGAGGGAAAGAGAGGAAACAGGCTCAGAGACAGAAAGATGGGAAGCCGAGCCAAGAGACACATGGAGACATAAGGAGACAAAAATACAAAAAAGGAGATAGAAGGGGAGAGGCATAAGCTCGCAAAGAAGAAAGATAGGAAATGAAGACAAAGAACGGAGCCCAAACATCCCCCATGCAAACCTCTACTGTGCAGCGCCTTCTCTGTTAGTCACGACTGCCACCTGCCACTCCAGGCGGCCACTCATGATGCCCAGGACAGGAACGTGTAATTGGATAGGTGGATGCGTGAGGCCAGGAGGCAGCTCACTCAGCGCTCCACGGCAGGCGGAGCAGATGTATGGGGGCCACTGCCAAGACCCTGCACCCCCTTTTCTGCTTGCCAGGCTTGGGTGTAACGGACTAGAGCCCCACAGTCACTCGTGGAGGGTGAAAGGCCACCCGACTCTCTGCACTCCTGCCCCGTGGACTCTGTCTCCTCTCTGATCTGTTGTTTTCCCGTCTAATGAGTCAGAATAAAGGTGAGAACGTTATTGCCTTTGCTTTTAGCAGCTCTGTGACAAAAAGCCCTGACTAGTGACATGGTGCAGGGACATAGCTGAGAAAATACACATGAAGGGCGACTTGCACTGTTCTCACCCCCGAGAACTCTTTCTAAGATTTCTCCCATTGACACTCAATTGTTGAAAGCTCGTGACCACCACGGAAACCACCTTGTATACGCCTAAGTTGTTCTCCTGTTGATATAGATCCAACATATATAACTATAAAACCATCTTAAAGGGAGGTAATCATGAGCACCGGTGCCCTGAAATAAAATGGTAATAATAGCCAAGTTTACTAAGTCAGGACGGCAGGTACATGGCTGTTGCTTATTTTGTGTGTGTGCGCGAAGTTTTTCCGAGCGAACAGGAAGATAATTTTAAAAACTACATTCAGCTGCATAAAACTACGGAGGTGGCTGGTATTTTCAGAGATCAGGACAATGTTTAATTATCATAGGGTTATTCTGGCCTATTGAAAATAGTTCTCTGAGCACCACTTTTTGTATTCGAAGGGATATAGGCATCTTTACCCCCTTACATGGATCCTAAGAGTCCACTGTCCCCTTTAACCTTTAGCCAGAGAATTTTCTGGTGGACAAACTAAATAGATGAGCTATTCGACAAGCACCCTAACCTTTCTGGGCCACATTTTCCTCATAGTGTTCATTGAAAGAGTTGAGCCAGGTGACCTCTCTCAGCTAAGGCAGGAGTGAAACAGAGAAAGAGGAATGGAGGTGCTGAAGGGAAGGGAGTACAGAGGCAAATTTGTCAGTGCTCCTTGAGTCGTGCTATTTTTAAAGTCACCATCTGCTGCTCACATTTTCAGTTTTTGTTGTGAGACAGGTGTGTGTATGAAAGAGAGAGAGAGAGAGAGAGAGAGAGAGAGAGAGATTTCTCTGTCTGTTTACCAAAGATTAAAGGGGGCCAAGGACTTGGGCCATGAGCCGGATCTTGGGAACCTTGGCAGATGTTGACCTCGATATCCAGATGTTTCCAGCTGTGACATGTGAAGAGCAAGCTTTGGCTTCCTGGCCTGGCTGAAACCTGCATTAGACCTTGGCCAGGGGACAGAGGCTGCTGTCACTCTCCAGTCACAGCTGCCATCTGCTCTCCTGGGGACAGCTGCTTGGGAAAGGAGAACATTTCTGAGCCTCTTTCCTCGGTGGCTGGGAGTCTATAATACAACCCAGGGCCCGGGCTCTGAACCCTCCATTCCTGCCACTGCTGGGCAAGCCTTGAGGGAACCGAGAGTGAAGGGGACTCGGCCGCAGAGCCCGGCGGCAGGGAGGAGGCCGACAGAACCTGGAATCCCAAACTGTTTGCAGCAACTTCTTTGCATCTAGGCTCTTCCTGATCCCTCTGTTGGGACGTTGCCTCTCTCCTTTCTGGAGGCCCAGAGTTCCGTTGCCTCTTCTATGACACCTGGTGCCCCCAACCTGGAATCGCAGATTCTGGAGGGTATTTCAGTCTCAGAACTCAGAGATGTGAGGGGTGGATGGAGGGGCTCAGCCCCAGGAGATTCCACCCCTAGAACCTCAGGGAAGACAGGGGAGAAGGTTGAATTGGCCCAGAAGCAGAGGAGTCAGCACAGGACACTTCCTCTCTTGTGTCTCTTCTCACTGCATCCCCCCTCCCACGGGACAATGCAGACACCCTGAGCTCTCCGGGGTGCCGGCTGGTCATTCCGCTGTGTAGCTGCACAGCGTTTTCTGGGCTGGAATGCCCTCCTCCTGCCCCCTCCTGTTCACCTACCCAGGCACTGCCTCCTCTCTAACCTTCTCAGGCCCCCCGCCCCCCAGGGGCCTCAATATACTACAGGATTGTGCACAGCCTGCTAGGTGGTGACAGGTTAGAGGCTGTGTCATTTATCTCAGCATCCCCAGTCCCTAATGAATGGGCAAATGAACAAGTTTGTATTCTCCCCTGGTCTTCCCTGGGGCCAGGAATTTTGTCACCGCCCCCTCCACATGGTAGCCTCACAGTAAGTGTGTTGTTGTTGGATGAATGAATCTAGTCATTCACACTCACACTGCAGCATTCCGACCCACAGCGCAGCAAGACTGAGTCTATTGTTTTAAAGCAGCCGGTAAAAATGAAGTGTATTTTAAACATTTGCTGGAAGAGTCCAACGTTGCCCATAGTTTTCAGTCCTCACACCCCCAGTGTGAAGCTCCATGGGGACCCACCCGGCGGAGGTCATGGTAAGAGCACCCCAGGCACTCCCCACTTAGCTTAAACATGTCCCTCCTCCTTCTGTGTGCACACCTCCCAGGGCAGCAGGGGCAGCTCAGGGCCCAGGTGTCACAACAAGCCGATCCAGTGGCAGGAGAAGGCTCCTGTGCAGAGTGATGGTCTGTGGGTCCCAGGACCCTCCTCCCCATCATCTGCTCCTCCTGGGAGCATGTCTCAGGACGCTGCCGTCAGTGGGCATGAAGGAGGTGAGAGAGAACCCCAGGCAGAACAGGAGTCTCAACTTCCCACTTGCTGCCTTGGGAGCCTCGGGCCGCAGGTGGCGATGCCTGGAAGCCTCCCTTCAGCCCGGGCAGGAGTGAAGTCAGGAAGAAAGCAGCGCTGAGCAGACCCAGAGCTTTTTCGTGCCTGGCCCCGGGGCAGCCTCCCTCGCACCAGCTCTAGTTCTGCTCATGGCTTAAATTGTGACTCTGGGGAAGTGGAGCAGGGCCACCTGGTGCTGGACAGTGTATGCTGGAGAGTTAAGGCGTGAGAAAAGAGGGCGCTGCATTGGAGGGGCCAGTGAAAGGTTTGCGGAGGCAAGTCTTCTGTTTGCTTTCCTCAAGCCATCGGAGGTCCTCATGTCCCTGTGGTAGACCCTTGTATAAAATGGGGAGAGTGCAGCCCCTCAAACTACGTGCTCAAGTCGAAAAGACAGACCTTGGTTCAGTCCCCAACCCCAGCCCCAACACCCTCTGACAGCTGTCCTATCCCTGAACCGCTGTCTCAGGGGCTCAAGGCCACTACCAGGTCTCTGGCTCAGCCCTCCTGCCTAAACCCTTTCTGCACCTACTGGCTTCAGTCAAGCCTCAATTCTACATCCACCCAGGATGGGGCTGAGACCAGAGTGTCCATCTCTGTTCTATGGAAGGAATAACTGTTAACCTCCCTCACCCCTCCACCCTCTTCCCACTTCTTTGCTGCCCCAGATACCACAGCATTTCCTCACCGCTCTGTCTCTCCTCCCTCTCCGCAGGCCAGGAGGAACCAGAGAGGCCCCATGCTGGGCAGGAACCTGCAGCTGTGCTCCACATGCCAGGAAGTGAAAATGGTAAGCCTGGTGATGACAGAGATGGGCAAGGGATAAAAGGAATCCAGATTACAAATGAAGGTGTGAAACTATATTTGCAGATGGTGTGATCTTATATATAGACAGTTCTAAGGGATCCACACATACAAAAACTATTAGAGCTGATAAATGAGTGCAGCAGCGTTACAGACTATACTAGTAAGATCAATGTACAAAATTAATTTTATTTCTATACCTTACCAATGAACAATCCAAAAAAAATGAGAAAACAATTCCATTCGCAATAGCCTCAAAAATTAAAATACTTAGGAATAAATTTAACAAAAAAATGTAAGACTTGTACAACAAAAACTACAAAATATTGTAGAAAGAAACTAAAGAAGACCTAAATAAATAGAAGTAATCCTACATTCATGGACTAGAAGACTTAATATTGCTAAGATGGCTATACAACCCACTGAATTGATCCACAGATTCAAGGCAATCGCCCTTGAAATCCCAGATACCTTTCTTACAGAAATTGACAAGCAGATCTTAAAATTCATATGGAAATGCAAGAGTTACAGAATAGCCAAAGAAATCTAGAAAAGGAAGAACAAAGTTGGAAGAAACACACATTTTTTATTTCAAAACTCACTGCAAAGCTACAGGACTTTCAAAGAAAATAGACAGCCAAGACCACATATTGTATGATTCCCTATATATGAAATGTCCAGAGCAGGTGAATCCATAGAGAAAAAAAATAGTGGTTGCTGAGGACTTGGGAGAAGAGGACTGATTCCTGAATAAAGAAGTCATGAAAATGTTCGGGAAGTCGATCGTGGTGATTGCTGTACACCTTTATTAATATACCAAAACCTCTGAATTGGACAATAACGTGGTAGATTTTATAGTATGTGAATTATGTCCCAATTTAAGAAAATGATTAGCAACAGAAAAATATTCTTTAAAAGTAAAAGCATAAAATGGATGAATATCAATGAAATAAAAATCCTAAGTAGGATGTGGCTTGGAGTGCTGAAGTGACCCTTGGCCAGGTGCTCCATTGTTTAGTGTGGGGCCACCAGGGACAGCTGTGTGAAGGGTACACTTCACACCCTCATGTATGCTTTGCAGTGAGTTCATTCATCCACTAATTTGGTCAACAAATATTTCTTAAGGACCTGGAAATACTAAAGTACAGATGTGGTCTATGGCCTCAGGAAGCTGAAAGTCTGCAAGGGAAGCCAGACATTAAGCAAATGACTACAATGAAAAGGTTATGAGTATTCTAGTCGAGGCAGCCTAGGAACAAGGAGGTCATTGGGCAGCCATCCGGGACCCAGTAGTGCCTGTGAAAAAGTGATAGTTAACCTGAAACCTGAAGAATGTTGTGGTGAGCTCACCAAAGAAAACTGGAAGATTTACTAATCTTGAGGTATCTAACTTCAAAATCTGGTAACCAGGGAAGAACAAAGACTCTATGACGTGTGAGCAGGGTAATTCCTTCTGGTTCATTCATATCACAAAAGGATACAGTTCTGACTCTGATATTTAAACAACTTGAGTTTGTTAAGGTGGCACATACAGTTTATGAAAATTGGAATGCGGTCTTGGACAGTGTTCTAAATGAGACTGTCTTCCTCAGGTACAACCAAGAACAATGATGATCCCAAATGATCTGAAACATTCCTTTGAGAATTGTATGAGTCATAGGTAAGTCAAAGGTTTAAATTGGGACGTGGCATGGCTAATTCCGATTATATTGGTTTGGGGGCACAAAGATAATGAATCGAGAAACAGTAAGTAGAATGTGTAAGGGATGCTAAGGAATTTGGCTTCTTTTATTTTTTATTGATTTTGAAGAGAGAAAGAGGGAGATTTATTCCACTTATTTATGCATTCATTGGCTGATCCTTATATATGCCCTGAATGGGGATCAAACCCAGATGCTCTCTAACCAACTAGGCTACCCAGCCAGGGCCAGAGAATGGGCTTCTTGATGGTTTTGTTTTTTTGTTAAACCAGATAGTTAGACCCAAAAAGTCTTTTTCACCCTGAAACTACTGTAGGAGGTTTCATCATCCTTTCCATTTTTGCAAGAACAGTGCGGGGAATAAGATAGGAAATTTCTTTGACAACTTAGGCAGGAGTAAATACAAATTCTCTATGTAGATGGCATATCTAATTCAGGTCACAGAATCTGTCGTGACTCTGGGACATCCACTGCACTCTTTAATAACTAATATTCCTTTTTGTTATCAGTTTGGTGGTTGTCATTTGCTGCTTTCTTATCAAAAGCAACTATATCAGAAATAAAATCCAGGCAGAATTTTGATTAGTTGGATTTCAGGTTTTTTCCTGTATTTAACTATCAGACAGAGAAGAAATACTCAATTTTTACATTATTAAAACACTCAAGCCCGGCTGGCATGGCTCAGTGGTTGAGGGTTGACCTATAAACCAGGAGGTCCCGGTTCAATTCCCAGTCAGGGCATATGCCTGGGTTGCAGGCTCAATCCCCAGTGGTAGCGTGCAGAAGGCAGCCGACCAGTGATTCTCTCTCATCATTGATGTTTCTCTCTCTCTCTCTCTCTCTCTCTCTCTCTCTCTCCATTCACCTCTGAAATCACTAAAAATGTAATTTTACAAAAAGAGAATAAATTCTAAAAACAACAACCAAAAAACCTTAAAACATGGACTCACCCTGCATCAGGCACCAAAGTAGGTAGAACTGCTTTGCAGTAGATGGTTGGACATACAGTTACCCTTATATATGACCAATCAAAAAGGTTTACTTTTTCTCCTCACACAGAGAGCAATAATGTGGGAGGATAATAGGTCTTTATTACATTGGACAGCAGTAGCTGACCTCAGGGCCATTCGGTCCACATTGAGATGTAGACTCCGGTGCATTAAAACCACAGTGCCTGGCCCAGGTAGATAGGATCATGGAGTAAATGGGTATTTGAGCATTACAGGCTCCAGCACCCATAACTTCACCTACACTGAGTCCATACTTTTAAATAGTTCTTATGTCAAAGCACAATAAAAGTCATTCTAATAAACAGTCTTTATGGACTGCAAATGGAAAACTCAACTCTCGAAATCCAGGGATTTCTGAGCAAAAGCTCACTCTTCTATGAAGGAGACTTTTGCAATTTGTTGCCCCAAATTATTTATCTTACAAGTTTGGCACTTTGCTCAAAAGTACTTTGTTTTTGCAAGTTTGGCCCAGTTGTCTCTGCTGCGAGGCAGTCTCAGTACCAGGCCAACAAGTGCTGGATTCAAGAGGCCGTTGCTGTTTTAAAACACGCAAGGACACATTCCTTCCCAGCAAGCCCTGGTCAAGTAACTAACGTGGTTTCTTGCTCTCCCCAATCAGAATGAAGAGTCTTCCGCCACCAAAAGCTCCGACTGAACCCAGGTGTTCCCCTGATGACATCTCAACAGGTTTGCTTTCTTTGGAAGTATGTGTGGTACAAGGCACACTGCCCCCAGAGTAGTGGAATGAAAAGTTTAATCTCCTAAGATAATTTCTAAATTTTCTGAACAAATTCCCATTCTCTTTTTTAAAAAAATTAAATTGATTGGGGTAACATTGGTTAATAACAATATGTAAGTTTCAGGGATACAGTTCTAAAATGCATCATCTGTATATTGCACTGTGTGCTCACTACCCAAAGACTAAATCTCCTTCCATCACTATATATTTGACCCCCTTTATTCTCTTCATCCTCCCCTACCCTTCCTCCCTTCTGGTAACCACCATACTATTGTCTGTGTCTATGAGTTTGTCTGTTCATGTATTGCTTTGTATTTTTAAGCTCCACAAATGAGTGAAATAATATGGTTCTTATCCTTTTCCATCTGACTTATTTCACTTCGCATGATACTCTCAAGATCTACCCATTTGTCACAATTGCCAATATATTCTTTATATATTTTCATCATTTTTTATGACTGAGTAGCTCTCCATTGTGTGTATGTACCACATCTTCTTTATCCAGTTATTCATCAAAGGACCCTTCCGTTGTTTCCATGTCTTGGCTATTATTGTGAATAATGCTGCAGTGAACATACATATATCTTTACAAATAAACATTTCCAAATTTTCCGGGTACATACCAGAAGAGGGATTGCTGCATCATATGGTAGCTCTATTATTTACTTTTGAGGAACCTCCAAACTGTTTTCCATAGTGGCTGCATCAATGTACATTCCCACCGGCAGTGTATGAGGGTCCCCCTTTCTCTACATCCTCTCCAACGCTTGTTATTTCTTGTCATATTGATAACAGTCATTCTAACAGATGTGAGGTGGTATCTCATTGTGGTTTTGATTTGCATTTCCCTAATAGCTAGTGAAGTTGAGCATCTCTTCATATATCTGTTGGCCATTTGTATGTTTTCTTGGGAAAAGTGTTTGTTCATGTTCTCTGCCCATTTTTAAATTGGATTGCTTATTCTTTTGTTGTTGAGTTGTATGAGTTCTTTATATATTTTGAATATTAGCCCCTTATCAGAGGTATCATTTGCAAATATCTTCTCCCATTTGGTTGGTTGCCTTTTTGTTTTGTTGATGGTTTCTTTTGCTGTGCAGAAACTTGTTAGTTTATTTTTGCTTTTATTTTTATTCTATTTTTTGCTTTTACTCTCCTTGCCTTTGTATTAAGTTCACAATAACCTTTCTGAGACCAAGTTTAGTACCTATGTTTTCTTCTATGTATTTTGTTTCAGGTCTTATATGTAAGTCTTTAATTCATTTTGAGTTAATTTTTGTGTATAGTATCTGATAGTGGTCTAATTTCATTCTTTTGCATATGACATTCCAATTGCCCCAGCACCATTTATGAAAGAGGTGTTCCTTTCTCCATTCTGTGTTTTTGGCTCCTTTGTTGAAAAGCAGTTGCCTATACACTAATTGTGTGCTAGGAAGGCAGGCCTGGTAGTAGCAGTTAAGGTGGGAGGGGGATGCATTCCCACCTGGAATGGCCTTACCAAGGCCCTGAACCTTCCACGCCACCGGTTTCCTAACACACCTGCCTTCTTCCAGAAGCTGCCCAGTGCTATTCTTACGTTCACTTGCTATTGATGGAAAATGGAATAGTGGCTCTGTCTCCAGCTTCAGCATTGACCTAAGTCTCATCTTTTAGAGAAGCAGCACTGGGTTGTGAAGGTGGGAGTGGATCATTCTTCTGGGTGAAAGGATCCAAGGGTTCAGTGCCGTGCAGGCTGTCATTTGGGAGACTTTGTCCATCTTCTCATTTGCTTTCATATTGACTGAAGTCGCCTCCAGTTTTTCTTTCATTTGAAATACACAGTAAGGAAAATCAAGGCCACTTTCTTCACTTCATACAGATGGGGAAGTGCAAGCTCTATCCTGGCGGTTGCAGAGGAGCTAGAGCCAGAACTGAACTGAGCAGGCATCAAGAAGGAAATCTGAGCATAGGAGGGGTATCTTGAAAAGGTCCCAAAAAGGAGGACCAGAGACTCTGGTAACAGCTGAGGTTTGGAGATGTCCACTCTCGTGGGGTGAAAGGCTGCGAGTCCCAGTGAATCCTTTTTTATGAATCCAGAGAGTTTGGCCTAGCCCGTGGACAAAGTGGACAAAGAGCCAGGAGCTAAGAGCCTCCTCTCAGCGAAAGCCCCGCTGTCCTCTGGTCTGCAACCACCTCATTCTGTTGAAGCCAAGACAACACTGGGTGACAGACATGTGCAGCTGGTTCCAGGGGTCTCTGTCGCAGCCACCCAGTCCTGAGTTTCCTTTAACCTGGATTTTTTCAGGTCTGCCTCACAAAGGAATCACACACACACACACATACACACACACACACACACACACACACACACACACCACACACACACACACACACACACACACCACACACCCTTCCCTCAGCAAGAATGTTTGTCTTCCGATTCTTTAGGGCTCTGTGATAAGATGCCTTTTATTAACTTAATAGCCCTAGGAGTGTATTCTAATGGCCAACAGGAGAGCTAGACTTGGTGTACGCGATTGTGATCAGCACATTATGTTCTTTCCTGGACAGACCTGGTTCTTGCCCCTAGAGTCCATCCAAGGACAGAACAGGCAGAGCCTATGGAGCTGGCTAGGAGCCGAAGCTGGGCAGGTCTACAGTTGATTCTAGTCATGGTGTTTGTGAGCTGAGCTTTGCTACTGTGTGTGCTCTCTGAGGTTATGGAGAAGCACTAGCCTGGGAGCAGAGACCTGGCTTCGGATCCCAGTCTGCCCATACAAGCTTTGCCCAGTTGTTTAAACTGTTTGGGCCTCCGTGTTCCCACCTGTAAAACTAGAGGAATGTTGTGCCTCCCACCCTGCCTGGCCACCCCCACTCCCCAGAGAGCCAGAGCCTCAGTACCAGCAGCCTTCACCTTTGATCTGCCCAGAAAAACTGCTGACATGTCCCCAGCTCTGCTGATTTATGGGCCTTAGACATGTTCCTGCCACAGCGTGTGCAGCTCGTTGCTGCAGCGGCCACCCACCTGTGCCGCATCGCCGTGGACATGCTCAATGACCAAGTAGCTGACTCATCCCACAAACATTACTGCCAGTTTTGCTGATGGCAACAATGATTTCTAGTGTATTCAGCTAAACTTCATGTATTATTGATAACTATTGGTGAGAACTAAGTAAGTGGGAAGAGCCTATCTTTGTAAGTGATGGGGAGGGATTTGTTCTGAATCCATTTGCCTTGACTCTGGCCTAGAGTCCCGAGTCCCATGACACCCACAGGCTCGTGTCAGTAAACATGGGTAGACATGGATGCCTACGGCCTGGCACAGCGTGTGATATGGTACAAGGAGCTCTGGGTTTTGGTCCTTGGTCTGTCAGTGCCCGTGACCCTGGACCTCTGTCTCCTCTTCATCAGCGCGATGAGCCTAGACTGGACCCTGGGCCCGTTATTTTGTGACTCTCTCAGCTCTCATTCCGCTGGAATGAGAAACATGTTCCAGAGAATTCAGGTCTCCAGTTCCCTCCGTCACTCAGTGACTTCCAATGGGAAGCTGTTATTTCATGTACTGTTTTTTCTCCTTTAAGCCACATGTCTTTTGGGAAAGTTGAATATTAACAGCTTTTTGTAAATAAAATAATATTCGACTGAGAGGTCAGGATGGTAAGGATTCTAAAGAATCCCAAAACAAATTATGTTATAAAACGAAGGTTCCTTTGAAAATGCAAGCACTTTTCCCTACTGTGGCCCTTTTGTCAGATCATATTTGTGTGTTTGGCGAGCAGAACCACATACGGGTCCCTGAAAAGTCTTCTGAGAATCGATTCCTCTTTCCCTCTGACTCGTATTACAAATCTGGATGCATTTTATCTTCATTTTTATTTAATCGGCTGTGACTGCTCATACTTGAGTTTGGTTTCTAGGTACTGTTTTTTGGCCTCTTTGACAAGAGCTGCAAAAGCTTAGTTTGGGGGGGAGGGGGTTCTATTAAAGGGAATCCTGCGAATTTTGAGTCTGTTTCAGAGGGTTGAAGAAGTCTTTGATGGCCTTTGGTTATTTTGAGTTTCTTTAAAAATAGAATCTAAGCAGCACTTGTCCTTCCTTCTTGCACTGCCCTCCAGAGAGCATTCACTACAGACTTCCCCTTCTGGGCCCCCGGGCAGGGGCCTTCCACGAGCTGTTGTCAGACTCCTACAAGGCTCTGCGGGGGATACAGCTCTCTGCCGCACCCAGAAAGGAGCCCACGGGCAAGACAATGAGGCAGTGAGTGATCGGTGCTCAACACTTTCCACTCCAGAGAGAAAACAACCTCACCAAGCCAGTCTCTCATCATTGCCTCCTGTCACCAAAACAGTGAGTCAAGTTTGCCTCCCTCAGAGTGGCTGGAATCCCCTCTTGCCACCGTCTCACACACTTCTCCTAAAGACGATGGCTTTATTTATACAATTATAAAGATTTATTGATTAAAATGGAACACTTTGAGTGTCATCAATTTTATTTTGGTAAAGATTCTTAATTGTGTTCTAATAGGCATCATTTCCTTGTTTCTAAGACATGAGTTTTCTGTGGAAATTATTTCAGCTCTTCTTTCAGGCCAGGGGGGCTGGAGATGGCTCCTGGAAGTCCCTCAGGATTCAGCCCATGAAGAAAAAAGGAGATAAATGGAGGTCGCCCTTCTGTCCTTATCTCTGTCGGTTAACTCTGGTAGATGACAGAGGATACTGTGATTCTATAACTGGATTAAGGTACATGGTCAGTTGTAATCCTTGAGGACAGGAACTGTGACTTGTCTTGCTCTCCTCATGACACTTTGCGTATATCAGATGTTCATCTAATCTTTGTTCAATCCAGTTCAAACCCAGTGCTGTGCTTTGTAGTTGCTTATTTTGATTTGAGGACCTGTCTCACCAGGTGTGTCCTGGCCCATGTATCAGCAGTGTCAGAGAGACCAAAGAAAACTCTAGGCTTCCAAGTATTATATTTATGACCCCAAATTCCATGCCCAGCTTCAGGAGGGCTCATAGAGATAAGGCCCCTTACACTCCTTAGGAGGAAATGGCCTTGTGAAATGCCCAGGCTAAGTGGACCTTGGGCCAGCCTGTGAGAACCAACCTCAGTGCTGACTCTATTCGAAGAATGGGCTTCAGAAATCTCTAACAAATGGCCTAATGCTTAAAATGACCTCATTTCTCTTTCTCTCTCTCTCTCTCTCTCTCTCTCTCTCTCTCTCTCTCTCTCTCTCTCTCTCTCTCTCCTTTTCTCTTTCTGTCTCTCTCTCTACACACACACAGACACCATAAAACCAGAAAAACTAGCTTGATTGCCCTATATTCCTGGGAGGCTATGATTCTTGGTTTCAGTTCAGTTACAGTTCAAGAACTCTAGAAATAGTACACACTTCCTCTCAGGGTATGCATGAATTATGATCCATTTTAGATAAGATAATTGTCAAAGGACAAACAAATCACAGATAAAAATGTTTATTCATCTGCCTCCACCTCCTCCTTCAACTTGATAGATCCAATAAGAGGATTTGGAGTATATATACCCATGCAATAATTGGACCTTTAGAGGTAATCTGAATATTATGTGCCTAGTGAGATAAAATACTCTCTAAACCACATTAAGAAGTCTTCATATAGAGTTCTAGTGTTTTTTGAAAATCTCATAAAAAAGAATAACGTTCTGGTGTTTGCTCCTGTTCTAGTACAGTGGTTTTTGGTCTTAGGAACTTTTTCACTCTTCAATATTGAGAGCCTTAAAGAGCTTTTTTTTTTTTTTTTTTATTTAAATGTGGATCATATCTACTTATATTTATCACATTAGAAATTTTAAAAACAACAATATACAAGCATACCTTTCATTAGTTGTGAGAATGATGATATTATATATCATGTAGCCTCTGGAAAACTCCACTGGGCCCTTAGGGGACAAGAAAAGTAAGAAAGGCAGATAACATCTTATATTATTATGAAAATAACTTTGACCCCCACAGACACCCCAGAAAGGATTTCAGAGACTCCTGGGGGTCCTTGGACCATCCTTTGGGAATTTGCCATAGAGAATATATCCTCCCGTCTCCAGCCTTCCAGGGAAGGGTTGCCAGGATGCTGTAACTCAACCACTCGAGTGAGTAAGCTGGTCCCTTGGCAGAGGTATTGGAAAGAAGGCAGCAGCAGGTTTTCAAAGTTCAATGATATTGACCTTTAGCATCATTTACCTCCCTTTGCTCACATGGTCTACTTAACAACCTTATTTTGGTTAAGTAATACAGTGGATTGTCCAGTTGGCACAAAAACTAGTTCCCTTTGAACTCTCATTTCTCTATACAAATGCTTGTTAGTTTGTTTGCTTTTGGTTACGTATGAACATATTTCCCAGAATCTGAGGTTCAAACCTGGACCCAATGCGGCCTTAGCACATGAGTGCTGTCTCGTCAGCAGCTTTGCTGGACAGCCAGCCAGATGGTGAATTTCCATTTCTCTCTAGTCCTGCAACCATTTCCTGGAAAGTGATGACCCTAAAGACAAAGGTCCTAAATTAGGAAGCCCAGCTCTTGACAAACTTCTCCACATGACCAACCCAATCTCACCATTTCCATTTAAACTTGCAAAGAGAGCCACATGGATGCTGCCAGACTTTTTTCTACCAATAACAGTGTTTATATGAAGTCATCCTACGCGTCCCACACTTGGCTTCTCTCTGTGCTGTGGGGTCAAGTGAGTGACTCTGCTACCGCTTGGTGCAGTCTTTTCTGTACTGAGCTGGATCCGTGGAGGTAATAATTTGGACTTGTCCATTACTATTTTACCGTCTGTATGCTCTCATAAATGGGCCAGGACAATTTCTTCACTATAAGCATCTACTCATAATGTTACTCCTTTTTCAAAGTCATGCATAGTATGCACAGTTCAGATTAATTTTTTAACATACATCATCTTGGGTAGTGTTTGTCTGTTTGTTTCCAGGCTGGAGCCTGATTTTGCTATTTTAAAAATATATGATTCTCATTATAATAAAAATCCACGGACATGAGTCAGACTTACTCCTTCCTACACTTTCATTTTCCTTCACCCCAACAGGGAACTTGAAAACCAATCAATCAGCACAATTCCTTCATTGCCAGGAAGGAAGAGAAATGCTGTATTTAGGAAAATCCATGTTGTAGTTTTTTTAAAAATCAAGTATATATGGCAAAATCATTGTCACCTCCAGTTCCCAGTTTAAGCTGCTCTGCTCAGGGCCACCCATCTTTTGCCAGGTCCCCGACTGCCACAGCTCATGGGAGGCCTGCGAGGGGCTTACTGGCCCCTGGCACACAACTGAGTTGCCTGTCTTCCTGAATATGTAAGAACCATACAATTCCAAGTAGCAGGAGTGTAATAAATTAGGCAGAACTGCCTTGTCTCCTCCTAGGAAAGCCCTGGTTGGGTATAGCTACTCAGGTTGGGGGAGGTCTACCTCCTCCAGGTAGGTAGGAGGGCATTACCCAGCAGAATGTAGAAGATTTCTGAGAAGAGGAGGAAGCACAGAGCTTGTTTCTATTAATAAAGCTGTACACTAAAGTCTTAAGAATCGAGGTTAAATTAGGAAATTTAGAAATGGGTAAAATGTCATCTCTAGAGAGAACAGGGATGATCAATCCTGTTTCAACCATGTCCCCTCAAACCCATCTTAATTTAGCACTTTAGTAAGTACTGTCCCTGTTTCGTACATGGAATTCTTGTCTCCCTAGAACAATGTATAACTTAATGAAGACAGGATGTCCCCACGGAGCTACTCAGACATGTGCAAGGTATGCTTAGATGGAAGAAAGTGATGTTAGGTGTTAGGACCCTGCCTTTGAAGCACTTGCCGTTTCCACTGGAGAAAGAACACACATAGAAAGAGCACATAGACAGGCCTGCATGTGAATAAGCATGAGTTACTCCCCGCTGTAAACTAAAGCCACAGTGATTACAGCAACAATGCTGTCCATGGCATCAACCGTCAGCTCCCCGGACAGGAACAAAGATGCAATTGTGTGATCTTGTCAGAAAAGTTGGTTAGAGGAGATAGAGCCGCACTCACCCACACAGGATGTTATCTCTTGTTCTTTGCAGATGTTTAACTGCCTGATCCGCAGGGTGCAGAGCAGTAAAATCAGGCGCTGGCCGATGCCTGCTGTTTCAAGGAAAACGTGTTCCTAAACCTCTTGGAATTGGCCTCCACTCAGTCCTGTGGAGCAGAGGTCATCCTTAGGGATGTCAGTCACATCACCCTTGCGCCCTAGACTGTCCCATGGAGAAAATTTCATAAAGACTAAGACGTACATGAAACATAAGACAGACAGTGATTGACGTTAGTTGGCCCTGAGGAGTGGCTGGAGGACAGAAATTGGCAGAGGGAGAAAATTGTTTTATAGGACAACTTGACTTACTCTTTGAATTTTAAGCCACATGAATATTTCACAGACCCAAAAACAAAACAAGATGAAGCAAACAACCAACCAAAAACCCTTTCCAAGTTGTGAGGGCCTGTCTAGCTTTGGAATGGGACACCCGATAAGCTATCAAAATAATTATTTTCTTTGTGACTCACAGACAATACAGTCCTTGGACACTACTAAGTCCAGGCAGCATCCCGTTGGAAGATAAAATCTATCTCTGGCTCTTGGAAGTTTTGCTACTAAAATGCAACATGATTATAGTAATCAGTCATTAGCAAATGTTGTAGTTCGTTATTAATAATTATCTATAACAGGATATTGAATTAAGTTACAAAATTTTTATTAAAACATTTCTTACGTATCATTATATTGGCTGGGCCACAAAAATATTTGTGGGCCGCATGCTTACTTTACACTAACGAGTCAAACCCATACAGTGTGCAGGTACAGAGGGTGGTCAGGTGAGCATTTAGTGTGTGGTAACATGCTCAACACTGTCAGTGAGTTCATATTCCATCTTTACCATAACCCTACATGGTGGGTAGGGTTATTATTGTCATCATATGGGTGAGGGAATTGGGTCTCACAAAGACCTGTGCCCAGATTCACACCAAGGTGGGACTTGACCTCAGGTCTTCCTGAGCAGGTAGCGGAAGCTCCTCCCACTACCTAACTCTGACTCTCTGTGAACATGAACCTTGTTAGAGTCAACTTCAAAACAGCAATTTCCTCTGTGGAATCCCCTATCCTCTGAGAGATAAAACTGGCTACAAAACAAACAAACAAATAAAAAACAAACCTCCTCTTGTTGGGTTTTCCCAGGGAGGAAAGTGCCGTTTGCTTACTCCAGACAGAGGCCTCTGTTCTCTCAGCCTGTTAGATGTTCAGTGTGATTGGCAGGTGTGGAATGGAGCGGTAGGGAGGGACCAGTGGGAGCCAGGTCCTGGCATGAAACTTGCCCACCGAGATAGACAAGGTTTGGGATGTGGGTGGTAGAGGGGAGGAAGGCAGAGTACACCCAAGAGCGTGGCAAAGACAGTGAACAAGCCTTATACCCGTCAGCCCTGGTGGGTATTTTTGTTTGTTTTTTTAATATTTTTTTTATTGATTTCAGAGAAGAAAAGAGAGGGAGAGAAGATAGAAACATCAATGAAGAGAGAGAATCATTGATTGGCTGCCTCCTGCACGCCCCATTGGGGATAGAGCCCAAAACCCGGGCAAGTGCCCTTGACTAGAATTGAACCTGGGACCCTTCAGTGAACAGGCTGACCATCTATCCACTGAGCACACTGGCTAGGCCCTGGTGTTTTGATTGGCAACCACAGTCCATCCTAACAAGCGGGGGGGTGGGGTGGGGGTGGAGTGCAGTAGTGGGGAGGGATGTGGAGGTATTTGTGGAGGGGGAAGGAGGTCCTTGGAAATGTCAAGGGCAGGAGTTCAGCATCTTGGAAGCCTGGTGTCTGTGGTGAAAGCCCAGCCCCTCCCAAACATCAGCTGCCCTCCTTCCTGACCCACTTGGCTTTACAGCTTGCCTCCCACTTCCACAGTCTCTGAACCTTCCACTCTCTGCTTTGGGCCTGGTCACTGAACCTCTCTCGTGCTGCAAACTCAGGCCTGAGCCCCTAGAACACCAGAGACAAGGCCAACAGTGGCCCGTCTCCTACTCGTTGTCTGCACACATATTTGTTAAGCCCTCGTAGGAGTCAGGTACTATGGGAGGCACTGGGAAGACGCTAGTAATGAAGAAAGCCAAGGTCCCTGCCCTTCATGGAACCTGCATCTAGTAGGGTGGGGGGGGGGGGGATAAAGGATAAGCAAGTGGTGGGCAAGGGCCCCAGACACTGGCTTCCAGGGAGGGAACTTGGGCCACACACATTGAACTGTAGTTGCACTTAGTGCACCCTTGGAGCCACTGTCCTGGCTGTGGTTCAGCCTTTGGTGTACAAGGTCTTGCTGATGTCATATCTCTTCCCCAGATAATCAGACTCCAGATGGCTCTGCAGCCAAGTCATGATAATGTCCTATCAGTCACATCAGAGTCTTACCGTTTTCTGACTGACTGCAGGTTGTGAACTAGTCTTTTCATTTGTTGCCACATTCTTTTCAGCAGCTTTCTCCGCTAGTGTGGCACCCTCGTTCCACAGCCCCTTTCCCACAGTGCTCAGCTTTCTGACTAATGACTGGATTCCTACACCCACGCGAATGTGCCTTCAACGAAAAGACGTACTCTTACTCCATGTGCTAGTAAAGAAAAAATAATGCCCGAGATGAGGGATCTAATGAGAAACCCTTCCACAAAGCTGAGACATCAAAGGGCTACAGAGGTAAACAAGAAATACTAGTAAGCCCATCCCACGCAGAGAAAGAGCCAAAACATTTTGCTCCTCCTGGTCTTGGCCCCGGTGGAGAGAGGGTGAAAAAAACTCATATGAGAATTGGAACGACAAGCTGGCACTCATACCCGTGGTCTAAGTTCACGCTGGTAGTGTGGCCCTTTCAGGCTCAATGTGAAGTGGTGTCAGGGTGACTGCCAGAAGCACAGAAAATCCTCGAACCGAGGTCTGCAAGGCCCCTGGGGTGGCCCACCTATTCTAGCAACAATTGAAATCAGTACTTTCTGAGGCAACCAGAGAGCATCAGTTAGACTTCACTGCGGAGGGATTTAGACTCTCTCTTTCCCGTGAGTTTAAATCCTGAGCAGAATATTTTGTCTGTTGCAACCACCCCAAGGTTACAGGTGGAGAAATTATGGTTTACAAAGCACGTTGAGCATGGCCTCAGGATGCTCATTCAGTGCGAAGAGCCATTTCTTTTTCCCTGGAAGGTTGGAACTTGTCTGAGCCAGGCATCTTTGGCCCTTCCTGACATGAAAGGGCTGGATGGTCGCTTTGACTAATTATGACGGGGGCACCTACAGATATGAAGAGAAGTTGCTGGAGCCACGAGTCCTACTTACTGACAGACGCTTCCTAGACACTAATTCTGGGCAACATAATTGAAAGTTATGGATGCTGGCAAAGGTTTCGAGAGGAACCGTACAGACTGTTGTAAAACAGGAACTAGGTGGGGTGGTAGAATTCTAGGTTTTTCTACTAGAAGGAACCCCAGAAACCATCTAGTCCAATCCCTCAGGCCATCTGGCAGGAAGGCTGCTATTATACCAGAAATTTGCACGACTGAACCTTTTGCATAAGTCAGGTCTCTTTTTAAATGCCACCTCCTCATCTATAATAACCTACCCGCAACCCAGGATGCTTAACCCTTTATTCTGCTTCTTTTATCATAGCGACTATCACTATCTGATACTGCCTGGAAAGATAGTTAATTGCCAGCTTGCTTTTTTTTCTGTCTTCTCCCACTAGAATATAGGGACCTTATTCAACTCTGTAAGTCCATGGCCAGAGCGGTATCCAGCCCCAAACAGAAACTGAAAAAATATTTGTTCAGTGAGTGAATAGTGAATGAATCAATGAAGAAAATAAGGACAATGGCTTTAATGATTTCAATTTCAGACAAATGGAATTCCATATCAGGTCTTGACTAGGATTGAAGTGTCTCATTTTCTCTGAGCAGCTAGCTGCAATGTTTCTATACACAGCTCTTAGCATACCTACCATATGCACGGCTCTCATAAATGTTTGCTGGATGAGAGAATGTACATCATACACCTACCCCTCGTGGCTGAGCTGCCTAATTCTCTGGAAAAGTAATAAAGCTTATCATCAGGGACAATGATGTATGTGATGCTATTAACCAAAACAAACAAATAAAAAAGGTTGGGAAATAAAAGTAAATTTTAGTGACATGAAAAATGGAAAGAGGTGAAAGATTAAAGATTGAAAATGAGGTGATCTTCAAGGCTGAGAGTGGGATGCAGGAAGACTTCAAAGAAGACGAGATTGAAAATGTCATGTTTGCCCACTCTCCTCTCCTCTCCTCTCCTCTCCTCTCCTCTCCTCTCCTCTCCTCTCCTCTCCTCTCCTCTCCTCTCCTCTCCTCTCCTCTCCTCTCCTCTCCTCCCCTTTGTTAAGTAACCAAGAGACATTTTATAAAACCTTCTCCCAGGAGGGCTTTAAAAATATGAGCCCCCTGCCCTTGGCTAAAGTGCCTGGGGGTCTGCCCTGAGAATGAGGGATAAACCAAGTGGCCTTGCCCAGTCTTCCAGCCTTTTGCTATTCTGAATTTGGACACTGAAACACTCGCATTCATCATTCAGCAAACATTTGCAAAGTGCTGCTCAGTGCCAGAGAAGAGTCAGGATCCTTTTGGTGGCAAGTGATGGAAACTGAATTTATATCTTTAAAAAATGCAAGTGCACTCAAAGGATGCTGAGTTTTCTCCCAGAGCAACCAGGCCGCAGGACAGGCAGGGATGCTGCAGACCCAGGAAGCATTGGAGCAGGGACCTGGCTTGGCGAAGATTCATTCTCATCTGTTTCCTTCTCCCTGGGTGTTGTCTTTCCCCTTTTCCTGTGGCAGACTGTCTGTTTCCACACGGTGGAAAACCCGGCACTGGTGCCTGCTAAGCTTTATGGCTTGTAGCTTTTGGCCACTGTGTTTCCAAGCCCCAAACTCCAGGCCAAGTCACCTCGCCCAACTTGGAACCCTACCTTGTCATGATGCCATCAGTTATGACCACCGGGGTGGGGCTGCATAACTCCCCAAGGATGAGATGGTGGGAGGAGAGAGAGACAGCTTTCAAAGGAAGTAGTGAAGCTAAGCTGGCAGTACCACATATACTCACGATGGCCTGGTACTGTGTTGGACCAAGATGACTAAACCTTGATACCTGTAAATCAAGGCGTCAGCCACTGTTGGACGACACAAAAATGCTGTTGTCAGTCACGGCCTCAGGAAGTCTGAGTGAGGTGCTGTCCCAGGAGCAGCTGAAATTGGCATCTCTCTTTGAGAAGGCTGCTCCCATGTGCTTGGTCCAAGGCACATCCTGTCTCTCCAGTTCAGGTTGGCCCGTCCCCTGGAGTCAGTGATGACTGGACTGTGGAGGTGAAGGTGATCGCTGAGAAACTGGTTTGTTCACTCTTGAGAGTCTGGAAAAGAGGTCAGTGTGATACTATTGTGCTTGAGCAGGACGAAGTGGGGAGTAAGCAGAGTAGATGGGGAGAAAGAAAAGAAAAAAGAAAAAAAAACACAAAACAGGAGAAGCGTGTTGGTCATGGAGTTAATACAAAATTAACTCCAAACCTCACTTCCTCGCAGCTCTCCATGCCTTCGTCCATCCAGGAACAAGCAAGATAATATCTTCTGAGAAAGAGCAAGAGGGTAAAGCTTTTTGATCTGGGACTCACTGACCCCAGACTGTCCCTTTTGCTCCGTGGCTGTGTCTGTCCAGTGTTTCCCCAGAGCAGCGCCTCCTTGGAGAGGCCGTATGAGACGGAATGAGCTATTCTGTGCCCTAGCTTTGTTTCCATGACAACTGATCTTTAGAACTCACACCTTCCCAAGCAGGAATTCGTATGGTTGGGGTAGGGATGGAGTTGGCTTATGGTCACATAGCTGGGCTTTTCCGAAATCCTCCAAAGGGTTGGCATTCCTTTCAGAGATATATCTGTTTTCAGTGCTTAAAGTAATAGTGATTTTTCCCCCCAGATGACTTGCAATCAAAATTATTTAATTTTCCTTTTAAAAAATGGCCACAGCCCAGTAACTCCCTTGGGAAGGAAGAAATGTTTTCTCTACTCTTCTAGGTTTTTTCTGCTGTTCTAATAATTAAATAGTCATGAGACAGATTAATAAGACAAAAATAACCAAATTTAATTACATATGTTATGTATGGGGACCTCATATACACAAGAGAGAGACCCACATATATGAGAGGTTCAGAGACAGAAGGGGAAAATGAGGTCCACATGACATTCTGAGCCAAGGATGGGGTCAGGCTTCAGAGGGGCCACAGTCTCCTGCAGGATGGTAAGAAGAGCAGACGGTGAGTAATTCTATGCTTGTCCTGCCATATAGATCAGTGGTTGAAAGTTATCTCTGGTAATAACCCTTCTTGTGGGGAAGTCCCTCCGTTTAAATACTGCGAGGCAGTGAAGGGAGGGGCAGACACTTCTTCTGAGCCCACAGGTCTCCATTGCCTTCGGCTCAAAATAATTTGCCTGCCAACAGAGCCCCTCCTGGGGAGACCTGTCCTGAATCCCTTCACCCCCAACAGGCCTGAGTGTGCCTAGTCACCTGTGAGTCACGTGGGAAAGGAGGAGGGAGGAATGCGTGGTGACACCTGGCTCAGCCGGAGCCCTCTCCCCGCTCCGGGCTAGAGTGTCCAGTGTGGGAACATTTCGGGGAAGGAGTGCCTCAGGGTTTCCCGAAAGTCAAGAGACACATTGGCGAGAATCGCCGAGGAGATGGAGGCGTGCAGGGAGGTGAGGACCACGAACAGCGACATTGTAAGAGTACCGTGACTGACGCTGAGTCCCTCCATTAGGCGTGAAGGGAGACTCTGCCACTTAGACATCTCCCTGCATCTAGCCAGCACCGTTCCTGGCACACAGCAGCTCGGTAAATGTGCGTCGATTGATTGAATAAACATTTGACATTGACAGGCATGTCTCGGGTTATGTTCAGTCTGGGACTTTCTTAAGGCACAAGATTTGCCCTCGAGGAATGAAAGCAATCCCTTTTATTTTTAAATTCTCCCTCTTTTAACCCTGGTTTGATTTTTCTTAAATGTGCTCCTAGGAATTTGATTCCAAGCAACTGGCTCCAAGTGAGAGAGAGAGAAAAGGGGTTTCGAGTGAAATTGAGAAAAGGAGAGGCATTCTGGGATCCAGAAGCCAAGGCCAGGAGAGGGATTTCTGTGGGTTCCCAGGACTGGGAGGAAGGGAACTGCGCAGCAATCTTCCCCGAAAGCCCAGGCAGCCGCTTGGAGTTCTCTGTGCCTCTTTCTGATTTGTAAATAGTTGAGACCTGGGGCTGTTCACAAAGCCACACCTCTTGTTTGTGCCTGAGAATTGCTGGAGCAGACCAGCTTCAAACTGAGAAGCAACAAGGAACAGATAAGCAAGGAGAAGTAGCATTTGTTCCTGAGACAGGACAGCAGCAGGGGTGTTCATAGCGTAGTGGCCAAGGGCAGAGTGGCTGGGGTCAGCCTGATGGGTCACATCTGACCTACACCTCACGCCCAAAACTAAATGCATCCTGTCAAGAAAAGTGCTCAGATATGCCTGGTGCATAATAAGTGCTCAATAAATATCAACTAATCCTGCTATTATTGCTTTTAAATGCTTTCTAAATCACAATTCCAATAAGGCCATTCTGCATAGAACACTTCAGTGGCGGCTCCTTTTCCCTGAATTGCAAGTCGTGAAGCCTAGCTTCTAAACTAAGCATTCCTGGGTTGGTGTCCACTCTCATCTCCTGCCACTCCTCCAGGACCACCCCTGAGCTCCAGCATTACTTAGAGCCCTTTGAAGGACCTTGTTCTCTTACCTCTCTGTGCATGTTTTCTTTCTTTGGCCGGAAATACCTGTTTCCCACTCGCTCACCTGCAGAATACCCATTTGTCCCTACCACCGCCTCTTTTAGGAAGCTCCCTCTAACATGCCCCGCTGGGCGCTGAGCTCTGGGGCCCCTCCCACAAGCTCTGAACTAGTCACAACCCCCAACACACGCATCTGACATTCCTTCCTTCCCGTTCTTCCCAGGGACTCTGTGATCCTTGCGGGGGAGAGGTGGCATGTTGTTCTCCAGCGTACACAGAACAGGTGTCCCCCAGAATGCTTGGAATCTCAGAGGAGGCTCAACAATGAAGTTTCCTATAAGAATCAGGGAAGGGACGAACTGAAGCCTGCCAGAAAGAGAAATACATAGAAGAAATCTGCGAGTCCCTCACCTCTCCACCCACTCCTCCTGCACCCTCATGATGGGGGCCTGGATTCCCGCCCTTATTGTTTTCCACGTTCAAGTTCCCTAAGGTAATGGTGGAGCCACATTCTCCAGTGACCCGTGACCCAGGTCTTTGATGCTGTTACCTGCACCGACTCTGATCCTCAGCAGGAAATTCTGAGCTTCACGGAGTCAGGTTTTTCCAGGCTGAAGATGAATAAGTAATAACCAATTGCCTTTACTTTTCCAAGAAGCCTGTCAGTGCTCCAGTGGGTGGAAAGGCCCTCCCACTACACACTGATTGGGGAAGTGATAGCCCTAGGTCACTGGGCATCAGAGGTGGAACCAGGAGGGCACACGCGAGCTCCAGCCAACAGCGAGCTCCAGCCAACAGCAAGCTCCAGCCAGCAGCAGGACTAGGGGAGATGATGGACAGCCTCTTTTCCCCTTCGGAATTCCTCGTCCTGGACACAGAGCTCTGGAACTAAAACTGGATCAGGGGCAAGCTAATGAGAAAATCATATATTTGAACAAGATTTAAAAATAAAAAGTGATGATTAGCATTTATGAAACCCGATGAACGTGTGGCCAGCCAACTGGCAGGCACTAGCAAAAGCAAACTCCCCAAGTTACCCAGGGGAATGACCCCCAAGGGCCCAGAGTAAGGGTTAGGACATCAGGAAGAGGAAGAAAAATACTCCGAATGAATCAGGGGCTTGGTTTTTCTGCCATTTAATGTGGCTTTGCTTTGAGACAAATGAGTTACAAGCTGCTGAAATACATTTCGTAAGAGGTTTGATTATGGCAAGTGGAAGAGACTGCAGCATATTTCAGTCTCAAGTGAGAATAGACACAAAGCTTTTCCCTGACTTAGCAACAGGCAGAAGCATGGTCAGGAAGCTTCTCAAAGTTAATGAAGTCCCTCTGGTTCAGAGGTCACGCACCACTGATCATTACAGCTCTTGTCCCTGCTACGGGGCCTGTCGTTTAGTAGATGCCTAATAAGTTTCTCTGAAAAAATGTGTGAATGCAATGCATTACATAATACATGTTTGGTGAAGGAACCATGACCTTTTTTTTTTTTAGTTTTCAAAGCTCTGATTTCTAGCATTTGACAATTTCTGTGGTGCAAATATTCCCAGCAAGGCCACCTTCAAGCCACCAGTGGCTTAACAACAAGCTCACAAAATTTCTAAAAAATTAACTATCAGCTCTCGTGACCAGCAGGAGTCAACTCGGGGATACTGGTACTTGTGGCAGGACATTCCTGGCTCTCCGTGCTCACAGGCAGGGCAGGACCAAGTGTGTTCAATATATTCAGCCCTTAGAAGTTTTGCACAGACTTTCCCCTAGAAGTTTATAAAGCCAAATAAAACCAGGGGACTAAATTTCGGGGCACTGCTCTTGGATTGGGGAGACGATGGACAGGCCAGGGGCTTTGTGCCCATTGCCTTTCTTGGTTTTTATTCATCATGTCAACAAGTATTATCTCTCCTCCTTGCTCCACCCCAAGTCCCCAGAACTGTGCTAAAATTCAGAGGAAACACCAAAATCTGCACCCTGCCATTGGGGAGCATATATTCATCCTTAGAAGGCTGGACACACACAAAAGCAATGAAGTAAGAATACAAAGCCCATCAGGCTGTGGCCAGAGAGGAGGAGTCCCCAGAATCAGCATATGGAGACCTTCTGTAGCAAATGCACATAAATCAGCAAACCGCCTCTCTCCCCTTCCCCCTCCCCCACCTGCCACCAGACTATCTGCCTCCCCAGGCCCTGAACATCCTCTCCATTTCCTCTCTCATACAGGAAAGGACCCTACTGACCATTAGATGACCTCATAGGTATCTGTCGAGAAGTGTACGCTCTCTCTCCCAAATACCTTCTTATCCTGGTTTCCTTGATGACCAAGGGTACATATGTGGAAACTGCCTGGAGTAGAAGAGAAATTCTGTCCTTACCAGGATTGAGAAGTGGGCACTCCCAGCCCCTCAGCAGCTTGGGAAAAGCTCACCGGAGCTGGTCTTCCGGACCACCTGTGTGCCACACGCCAGCCGGACTTCCTCAGGGAAGGCCTGCATGGCGGCCTTGCAAACCCAGAGACCTAAAGTAACCACAAAGGATGGTGTGAAATGAAATCTTTTTAATTACAAAGCAGTCTCTGGTGGGTAGTCATGTCTTAGGCCAGTATCTTCCCTGACAAAGATCAATTTTGATTTTAACTGAGCCTATTGTCTTTTTGCATCTAGATAACATACCTTTGGGAAGTCAGGGTAACTTGTAGCTTACCTTTCTCCAGACCCCTCAGGGCACAACCAATGTGCCAGGGGGGAGACCTCAAATCCCCTCATTGTTATTGTTATCTTGTTCATTGTTGCCTGGTAACTGTCCTGTACCCACCTATGTAAAAGAAGCATGTGTCTACCATTTCACTTTTTATCCAGTCCCAGAGGTTTCCCCACTTTGCTTTCTCCCTCCTCCCTAATCTATCACCGATGGATTTCATGTGACCCACTTACAGTCTCCACCTTCCATGGTCATTTATAAAAATAGGTGAAAAATCACCATTCTCTGGAGCATCGTCTCAATGCATTGAGATTCTGCTTCTTGGCATTATTGACAGTTTGGCTCAAATAAACTCACAAAAATTCTTTATAGGTTTGAACGTTTCTTACGTTAACACCTGCTTACCTTATCAGAATTGTAATCACAGGAGGAACTAGCAAGCATGGAACTGGACAGTGAGGCCTCTTGTGTAAGCCTGTGTTCTTTTGTCTCAGCTCAGGCACACCTCCCATTCTTCTCTCCTCTCTGGAACCAGTTCATACACTGGGCAGGCACCTCTTGTTTGCTCCAACCCAATCAATTCACCAGTTGAAGCTGGCTCTCGGCAAATGTTCTCACCCCAGTGTTTACCACTCACCAAGCTAACACTTCCTGCAATTGTTCTTCTCCAGTCGAGGAATCAGGCCTTCACTTGGGGAGTTTCCCCTCCATTTAGCCTGGCAAGGAGCGGGTGGGCATGCACAAAACACCCACCCGTAAATATTTCATAATCAACTACTGTCAGCCTGGTGCTGTGCTCAGCACTGGGAAATCAAAGGTGAATATGATGCTTATGCCCTGGTGTTGCAGGAAGAAGGCAGGCAAGTGAGCAAGCCATCGGGCCACAGTGTGATAAGACTGGGGTTATGAGAAAGTCTGTAGTTACCAAGGGTGGGCTCCTAACCCAGCCTTGGTGAGGAGCAGGGTTGGGAAAGGAAGTCAAGGATCAGTCCAGGGGAGCTGTATTCTAAGGATTGATAGGTAGCCGATCCAAAGACAGGGCAGCCTGTGGGGACAGAGAGGAGGTTCAAGAGCCAGTGTAACTGCTGGGATGTGACCAAGCGCACAGTTCGAGCTGACTAATGGGTCCTTGCATCTCAGAATATTTGACTTATAGCTGCAAAGCACTGAAGGTTTGATCGCCAGCTTTTCAATCCCTTCGATGATGGTGATTATACCAGTTAGTATTCACATTGAGCCTAGGTTTAACAAAAGCCCCTTGCCGTGAGCTGTGGAAAGAAAGCTTAACATGTATGGAGGTCAGGAAAAGCAAAACCAGGTCTCTACCCCCTGCCCTCCAGCTCTGGTAGAAAACCCAAGGCCAGGAGCCACTAGTGTCAGTCACAAGGGATGTGCTGGCGCAGCTCAGGGGCTCAGCATTCTCTCTCCTCTCTGTTTCTCTCCTCTCAGGTCTGGTGAGCTTGCAAACTGTCTGTGTTCTGCAGAGCTTTCATGTCAGGTCTCATCGGGACTCCTGCTTACCCAGGCGCGCACACCATAGCTTTCCCGCAGATTCCTCCTCCCGCCCCTCCCCTTCCCCAGCTCCCTCTGCTCCACCCCATGTGTCCCCAGGCCCTGAGAACTGTGACAGCTCTCTGGGGACAGAAACTCAGAAAGGGGAGCCCATCTCTCATGGGAGGACTTAAATGTGGGACAAAACGTGGAATGTGATTTGCATCTTTTCTGTAGAGTCCAGAGGAAGCCGCATGGTTAATTCTCTTAGGCAAATCCTTAGAATTCTCAAGACCCCTCTTGTTTCCATAGTAAAAGTAACAGTGGTCAGATGATTGACATGGGTTATCTCATTGAATCCATCAATGACCTTATGAGGTGTTTACAATTATTATCCTTTTCTGCACCTCAATTTCCTCATCTGTAAATTGGGGAGAATAATGGCACTTACCTCATAGTCTTGTCAGGATTTAACAGATAAATAGTTAAGTACACGAGAGCTGCACCCAGCATATAATATAGTAAGTGCTCAGAAAATGTTAGCCGTTATTAATGTGAGGACTCTGGGCCATAGAGATTAAGTAACATGGCCAGGATCACACAGCTGATCAAATGAGGCCAAGATTCAGACCCAGGCGGTCTGACCCCAGAGCCTGACCTCCTGAAGGCAGCAGCTCTGCTCCATGGAAGAATTAAGGAGCAAGAAGGAACCAAGAGGGACTTTGGGTTGCTAGAGAGAAGCGGGAGAATTCCTTTGGTTTGGGTAAACCAATGGTTCTCAAAACATGCCAATTCTCTGGCCGCATCCTGCTCTCCTGAATCTGATACTCTGGGGAGAGACTCGATGTCCTGTGTTCGGGAGCCCCCCAGGTGGTCCGAGGCACACTGTGGACTCTCGACTCAGCTCTCTCATCCCTGCCATCTTCCTTACTCCTCGTTGTCCCCACCACATTATGTAAGAACAGAGATCCCTCATCCAACTTGAGGTTAGAGGTTTAGAAAGGGCTCAGCAGAGGGCTGGCGCAGAGCGGCTCCTGGGAGCCCCGCCTCCTTCCCTCTTTAGTCCGGGAGCAGGGGCCAGTGGGCCTCTCTGGGATCTCACCTTCTCCAGCACTCCCTCCAGTAGTTTAGGAAACAATCCTCTGAAGAAGCAGATGAATAAAAATGTGAATTAATTTGGCCTCATGGCCACATCGCGTGGCGGCTTCAGTTTTCTGAACTAGTAGGTCTCAGACGGAGAAAATGGATTTGGGACCTGGGTTTTGGTGGTAATTATTGATTTCCCCCCAAATTTGCTAAAAGTGGAGTTCAAGGGCCAGAAAAGCTAGAAAGAGACTAAATGAATTCTGTCCTTGGAGAGTGTACCTGTGGGGTATGGGGGAGGTAGGGAAGGGGTATGTATAACTGAGGCCACTGTCGCTTTAAAAGCTGGGCCAGGTAGGAAAGCTGCAATGTCAGTGTGGGTCCTGGGGTTTCCTAAAGGCAGTTACAAAAGGATCGGGAAGAGGTGGCCCGCGGCTGGGGATGGGGAACTGGCTGCACTCTTTGGCAACTTCATATTTTTTAACGCTCTCTCCCTGACTGGGTGTGGAGCAGCTGACAGAGGGCTGAAGGGATCCTTCTTAGTACTTAATACTAAGCACCTACCCTGAGTCAGGCCTGGGTTTTTGGGTTTTTTTGTTTGTTTTTGTTTTGCATGTGTTCACTCTTTTAATTGTCCTAGGTCTTGGAGTAGGTATCATTTTTTCATCTTTGTATTATGGATGGATTTAAGGATCTTGAAGCACGGGGAAATTAAATCATTTGCCTAAGGACAAACAGCTCCCCAAGTGAAGGAGCTGGGGTTAGGATCCGGGCCTTGTGGGACCAGAGCAGGCCCCGCCTGCCATTCTGTCTCTTTGCTGAGTCTGTGTCAGCAGCACAGGAGAGAAGGAGAGGGACAGTGGGGAGGGGAGCGTGGGGAGAGACACTGCCCACTGCCCATGCTGCCTCGGCCACATCACCCTCTGGCCTGGAGTTTGATACCCACGGCCTGTTCGTCAGAGTCAGGTGGCAATGACACATGCGGTCCTTTGCCAGGAGCATCCTGAGACAGGTATCAGAGTCCAACCCGCCAGCTGTGTTGCACTGACTGACGGAAGCAATAGCTCAGGAGGCACCAGCAGGGCTGCCCTGGCCCCAGGAGTTTGGCTCAGGCCTTGCTGCTTCTGGGCTCAGTAGGGAACTGGCTGGGATCAGGACCTCGTGGCCTGCGGGCGGGGCCTGTCCCTCCATGAGAGATTTTAGCTAAGCAGGCTGGGTGGATGGGGGTAACCGGCCTCTCCCCCACCTGCCCACCCTTCCCTAGCAGGCTTTCCTCCTGGACATTTTCAGAGGGAAGGGAGGACTGCCTTCTGTATTTCTCTGGGGGAAGGAAGTTAAAAGCACACAGGCCTCCCTGGGGAGGTTGCGGGCACTGCCAAGCTGCATAGGAAATTGCCAGCTCACCCCACCTGCCACATGACCTGTCCTGACAAGTGGCCGAGCAGCAGTGTCACTGAGGAAAAGGAAATTGCCTCTTTTTAAGGACTTCAGGGTGTTTAATAGGTGGGGTCAGATCTCCTCCTTCTAAAGATGCGGTGATATAGAGAGCAAGCCAGGACTCTCATACCCATTCTACAGAAGAGGAAAGTTGGGTCAGCCCTTCACAGAGGGGCTGACTTGTTATGCGACTCTGTCCATGCTTGAGGTGGGCGCGGGGCCCATGATGACCGCCGATGCTTTCTAAAATGGTAATACCTACCACGGGTCAACTCCAGCGCTGGGCAGTGAATGCACAGGCTTGTAGCTCTTGGCCTCTGAACAGTGCGTGTCTTGTTTCCTTGTTAGAAGCCAATCTAAACTTAAATATATGCTAAAAAAAAAAATCATGTTTTCCCCTATTGGACAGTCAAAAAAACCCTGGCAAGGATATAAGGAGCCATTGTTACCTGGACCCGGACCTGAGGAAGGCTTCTTTGAGCTGAGACCTTTATTTGCTCCTGCCCTCAGACATCTGTGCTTCTGGTTCTCAGCCCTTTGAACTTGGACTTGAACTTACATCATTGGCTCCCTGGTTTACAGGCATTTGGGTTTGGACTAGAACTCCACCCCTGGCTTCCTCAGCCTCCAACTTGCAGACAACAGGCCGTTCAACTTCTCATGCCCCAGCATCGCATGAGCTGGTCCCTCATCACCTCTCTTTCCATACAGGTTGTGTTTCTCTGGAGAAGCCTGGCTAAGACAGTGCTGAATAAGAAAGGAAGGGCACCTCAGGGAGGAGAGGAAACGTGAGTTAGACCTTGAGAAAAGGACTGGATTTAGGAAAATGGAGAAGAGGAAGAGCATGCAAGGGGCAGAGGTGAGCAGGGAATCAAAGCTCAGGAAGCTCGTGGTCTGTGAGGAAGATAGAGCAGACAGGTTACCCTGGCTTCATGCCCATCAGTGTGGAAATAAGGGTGGGAGAAGTTGGCCAAAAATTGATGTCAAAATGGCCAACCTCTCCAAGCATGATTTTCTGCAATGATAAGGTGAGAAGATAAGAATGATGACAAAATCATACCCAGCACTTACACCAGGCATCTTTCAAATTCTCAAAGCATGTTGATATGCTGCATTATTCATCGTCCTGTTGCTTCTGTGAGGCAGGTTCACGGAAGCTGTGAATCATCTCCCTTACACAAGTAGGGAAATCAAGACAGAGGCAGCGAGAGTGTCTTCATCCCACATCCCGATAGTGAGCCAGCTGGAGCTCTTGATCTGAAGTGCCGTCACTACACTGCAGCTTCCTCTTCGAAGGCCCATCCCAATTCCCGTTCCGTCTAAGTCTGTAGATGTCTATCTCTTCCAGGCAACTAACTGGACTTAAAGCCACTTTTCCACTTTGTCCCTCGGAAGTGGACTCGTTATATCTTCTCTTTCAGTGACACACAGATATTTTTTTTATTTTTATTGTTTTATTGCTTAAAGTATTACAAAGGGTATTATATATGTGTCCTCCCCCCCCCCCCGCCCTTGACAATCCCCTGGCCTCCCCTACTCCCCAGTGTCTTATGTCCATTGGTTATGCTTATATGTATGCATACAAGTCCTTCGGTTGATCTCTTACCCCCCTACCTCCTGCCCCCCAACCCTCCCTGGCCTTCCCGCTGCAGTTTGACAATCAGTTTGAGGCAGCTCTGCCTCTGTATCTATTATTGTTCATAAGTTTATAATGGTCTCTATTATCCATGAATGAGTGAGATCATGTGGTATTTTTCCTTCATTGACTGGCTTATTTCACTTAGCATAATGCTCTCCAGTTCCATCCATGCCGTTGTAAATGGTAAGAGTTCCTTCTTTTTTACAGCAGCGTAGTATTCCATCGTGTAGATGTACCACAGTTTTCTAATCCATTCATCTACTGATGGGCACTTAGGCTGTTTCCAGATCTTAGCTATGGTGAATTGTGCTGCTATGAACATATGGGTGCACATATCCTTTCTGATTGGTGTTTCTGTTTTCTTGGGATATATTCCTAGAAGTGGGATCACAGGGTCAAATGGGAGTTCCATTTTTAGTTTTTTGAGGAAACTCCATACTGTCTTCCATAGTGGCTGCACCAGTCTGCATTCCCACCAGCAGTGCACAAGTGTTCCTTTTTCTCAACATCCTCTCCAGCACTTGTCGTTTGTTGATTTGTTGATGATAGCCAGTCTGACAGGTGTGAGATGGT